TGTCCTATTCTCACCCCCAGAGAGGAGCATATTAATTTTGTACTACCGGAGTCCCGTTAGAAGGTTTCCATAGCAAAACGACACGATTATTTACGCAATAATTAAATAAAGTACTACGAGTATATTTTGAGAAATAATTTTAATAGATATATATTATATTGTAGTTAGTATTGATAATTGAGATGTTATAAATGTATTAATTTTAATATTTAATGACTAATTTGTCACTTAAGATTATTAATTGTTTCCTAAAATGAAAATGGGAACCTTCTAATGGGACGTCCAAAAAAGGAAAGTGAAAACCTTCTAATGGGACGGAGGGAGTACTTAATATAATGTATAAAATGGTTTTCAAAATTCATCAAGACTTTTTTTAATTCTAGACAAATGAATAAAATAAGGGTTTAATTGTTTTGTTATAATAATTGAATTTCTCATAAGAATTTACATTTCTAAAAACTTATAAACATCAATGGTGGTTATGTCATTTTAGGAATAATAAAAATGTTGGTGTAACACTTAAGCAAGTGACACTTGTACTCTTTGTTTTAATTGATGTACCATTCATAATTAAGTCTATCACTTCTCCTTTACATCCGTTAAATTCCTAACGGCAGAGTTTTCAACGTGTGCCCTTCCAATTACAATTAGAGCATCTCTAATGGTAGAATGTGCACGGTGCACATGTGGCATAAGAGATAACCACATAAATATTAATAAATAAATTCTTTCTCTCCTTATTTGATTGATTTTATACAGTTTTGGTAAGTTTTTCTCCACAATGTCAAGGAGACCGTCTAGATATTGACATTGCAGTTGACATTGCAGGGAAAAACATACCAAAATTGTATAAAATCATTTAAATAAAGAGAAATATAATTTATTTGTTAATATTTATGTGGTTGTTTCTCATGCCACATGTGCACCGTGCACATTCTACCATTGGAGATGCTCTTATTGTATTCATTTGATTGCTTTAGTTTCCATCATTTGATTGCTTTAGTTTTCGTGTCTATGAAGCACGGATACTTCGTTAGGGTAGCGTATCGACGTATCCGATACGTTCCCGTATCCAATACTCTAGGATACCCGTATCGTACGTTCCCGGACCGTATCTGCAATTTTTAAAAGTTTCCATTTTTTTTTGTAATTTTTTGAAAGTTTCCGATACTCGTATTCTGACGGATACCCGTATCAACTTTTTAAAAAAAAATCCCAAAATTTACTTAATAAAATTCTAAACAAAAATAAAAATCTAAAACTACATTTTACTTGGTAATCAAATAATGGGCCTATATGGCTATATCCGAATTAAGTCATTAACTCATACTCCGAATTGGATACTTGCACTTTTAATTTCAAGATTGTAGTTGTTTGACTTATTTCTCATTTTAAATTAATGACTTATTGACTATATCTATATTTCGAGATGACTAGTGTATATGAGAAATATTATGAATTTATTACTAAGTATCTTGAAAAGGGAAATGCTTCAATGCAATGAATGGGTAGACATCATAGGATATTATATGTGTGTGTGTGTGTATATATATATATATATATATATATATATATATATATTCAAAAAAAATCTATTTTTAGTATTTATAAATAGACCCCTATAACTTTTAATATTTGTAAATACACCCCCATAACTTTTAATATTTATAAATATGGCCCCGTATCCGTATCCTACTTTTTTTGTTTTGACGTATCCCCGTACCCGTTTCCGCGTTTCCGCGTACCGGTATCGGTGCTACATAGGTTTTCGTTCAATGTTTTTTTAATTTAATTTTGTATTTTAAACTGTATCCCTACGTTGTAGAAGATAAAACCTTCAATGTTATGTAAATTTTCATGTTTTCTATTTAAAATGAAGCAATCGGACACATTCACACCAGATAAAATTTTCGTTCGGTTTGCAAAGTACTCCTTTTTTTATTAATCTCTTGCGGTCGCAAAGATTTGGATGCATATTTTCATTGTAAGAGTTTTTCTTTGCATATTATTCTTATGGCTTATTGCTTACGATTATTTAGTTTGGATGAGGTCAGACTAGAAAAAATCTTCTCACATCAGAAAGATCCGGATCATATCAGATCAGAAAATTACAACAAGATTAAAAAATTTCAGACATGATTTATTATTATTATTATTATTATCATAATCAACATCATCACTATTATTATTATAAGAAGATTCTTATTTTATTCATTGAGGAGAAGATTGTTATTAATAGTCTCTTTAATGATAATGTCTTCGGCTTATCAGTCTTATGAAACAATTTTTTCATCCAACACGTAATTTTTTATTTCACGCGTTAAGTTGTATAATAATCAAATAAGTAAGGCTGGAGTTACTTGTCTAGTTAAATTGGCTTAAGTTATATTTCCGTGTTTTTGGAACTATTTGTATATTCTACATCTTCTTAGAAGTTTTTAAAATTTAATTTTATTCTTTTTGCATATTCAAATTTATCTTTTTATTTTTCAGATTATTTATATTATTATTACGTAGTACTATTTTTTAAACTTTTATGAATTTTCTAAGATTTATTAATTTCACTAATTTGTTTTTAAACAAGTAACCTATTATAGCACGTTAAAATGACTTAAGTGATTGTGTTTCCAAAGTAAGCCTACTCATATGATAATTTTTTCGGTATAGAGGCTGTTTGACTCTCCCCAAATGGGGTGATATTCTGCCATTTTGACAGAATATTACCCCATTTTTAAATGAGGTGATACTCTTGGGTTATTTAACTTTGCACTCTATTTTCTAAATCACTAATATATAGTATGCACCCAAGTGTGGATCGAATTAGCTTGCAAACATTAATGATTTTGAAAATAGAGTGTAAAGTCAAATATCACTATAAAAATGGTGTCATATTCTCAATATCTTGTTTTTTAAAGAGGAGTGGAGTGTGGATCATTGCACTTATCGCTATACTAAAAGATCGCTAAAAAATCAGATTAGATTATATCAGATCAGAATAATTCTTCTCCCGTCAGAAAGACCATGATCATGTCATATTAGAAAGATACATACCAGATTAGAAAATTTTAGACATGATTCATTATTATTTTTATCATTCAAAGATTCTTACTTTTTATAAATTAAGGAGAATATTGTTATTATGAGCCTCTTTGGTGATCCTGTTTTTCGGCTTATCAATCATGAAACAATTTTGTCATCCAACACACAACTTTTAATTTCACGTGTTGAATTGTATAATAATTAAAATAAATAAGGTTGAAGTTAATTTAGTTTGTGAATACTATATAAGGTGCAAAAACTTAAAGGTAGAGCTTTAGGTTACAGAAAATATTTTGGGCATTATCTCTACCGCACAACGCGCGTTGAAAAACTAGTCACATACATAAATGTCAATGCTATAACATTTATTGGTTGTCTTGCGGAATTAGAGCCCGTTTGGGACCCTTTTTTGGCTTATCAGACTTATCAGCCAGCTTTGCCATCAAATACGTAACTTTTGATTTCGCGCGCTTAATTGTGTTATAAGTAGAAAAAGTAAGGTAAGAGTTACTTTTCTGACTTTATTGGCTGAAGTTACCGTAAAAGATCATTTTAGTTATTTTTCATATAAGTTTTTATTTCATTTAGTAGTAACAAATATTTTTAATATAATTTTTTCATGAACCATCAGAATCAGCCAATACAGCCAGTTCAGCCAGAACTTCATAAATTTCAGCAGAATCAACCAATTCAGCCAATTTAAATGTTACCAAACAGGTTCTTGGTTTGACAACAGTTTTTTTTCTCATCAAAACAATCCGCTTATATTAATATCGTTAAGATTCGGATCTTCACAACAAATTCACAAAGACCAACTCTGACAACAACTATCCCTAACCAACTAGCACTATCAACCCTACGGTTAGACTCAAAGACGATCACCTCTGAAAGATCAATATGAATCGCTAAACACCAAGCGGGTTTGACACAACAATTACTGGTCATATAGATCTTTCTAACGACATAATATCTAGCGGATTTGTCATTTCTTATTGTATACATAAAACTAAAGACATCGACAAAAAATAGAGCAACATAAACAAACTTAACGTGAAAGTAAGACCATAAAAAATAAAACAAATGATAAATACTTCAAACTCTTTCCTGCCAGTATTCTTGAAGTATCATCTTCCAAATACTTCACCTCGGTTGCTCCAATGCGGCGGTTCAGGAGGGATGCGGTCTGCCAATTTATCTTCTCTCTTTCTCAGAATTCGATTCAGAAATTGCTAGGCAATTTTCCAAACGAAAGTATCAATCACAGACCTCTAGATTCGATCCATAGCAACACATCTAGAGACATCAACCATAGAGAAGTAGATCATGAATAGACAGAACGTGATAACAACTGCCCACCCACTTACGCTCCAAATCATGCACATCGGACAAGAAACGACGCAAGTCGCCTGCCGAAAAAACAAACCCTAGATAAAAGCTAGGGAAAAGACCACTTTTACGAAGACAATCAATTCAAGATTACCTTCATTGCTCTTGATTGGAATAAAGACATGTTCATGCCGCAACCAAGCGGAAAAATCAAGTCTGCCGCTGACCAAGGGAAAAGCAAGAGAAAGGAGAGAAAAAAAGGAAACCGATGAGAAGAAGGGGAGGAAGCCGGCTGGCCGCACTCACAATCTAACTTAAGATTCCTATTAGTCTCAAATTGAATTGAATGACCATACTTCATATAACTAATTGTTTTCAATTAAATTTAAAACTGATATTTTTAGAAATAAAAATTAAGAATTAAAAATTAAGAAATTACATGGATGGAATGACTAGTTATTTTTAAGTTTAGTTGACCCAGATATTTTTTTGAAAGGAAAAATGATAAATATTAATTCAAACTGTCGTTCTCCAATTGGAGTACAATGCAATGAGGTGGAAAACTATAAGAATAGTACGAATCCGGTTGCAATAGGGCAGCCCTTGCTAAAGAGTGAGCTACCTTATTCGCGGATCTTTTACAATGAGTGACTTCTATGCTAACTTCATTATGAAGAATGTGTCTAATATCTTCAAGAATTGTATCGAAGTAGGAATCCCCTTCACGATCCATAATACCCGAGGTGATCATCATAGAATATGTCTCCAACTTCACTTGCTGCCAACGTTGCTCTTTGATCCACCTAATTACCTCCCGAACACCGATGGCCTCCGTTACGGCTGCCGTCCACTTTGCTTGAACGGTTTGGCTGCCACCTGCCAGGAAATCTCCTTGGGCATTTCTAGCAACCCATGCCCAAGCCCTCCTTCCGCTTCCGGCCCCCAAAGCTGCATCCACGTTTACTTTAATGCTACCCTCTGGCGGCTTCCTCCACCGAGATGTGGATTCCCTGGCCTGATGCTCAATTTTAGTGCGTTGCGCCTCTATCCAACTTCCCAGCATGCTCTTCCCCTCCTCAGCTATTTGCCGCCATCCTAGAACTTTATGTTTCCATACCTTTGTATTGCGAGCTTTCCACAAACTCCAGAGGATGACCACAAAGAGGTTGAGCTTTTCCTGTTGCATATTATCAAAAAAAAAATCCTCACCCAATTTTCAAAGGTGTCTCCCGTTCTAATAAAATTAGATCCGAGATGACACCACACTCCTCATGCTACATGACATCCGCGGAAAAGGTGAAGTTACGTTTCAGTCTCTTCCGCACAAAAGTTGCACATCCCATCCACTTCCACACGCCTTTTAAGGAGATTAACTGATGTCGGAAGGATGCCGAACATAACCAGCCAGAAAAAACTTTTAATTTTAGGGGGGATATTTAAATTCCACACCTTGGTCCACCCAGTCCATCCTGATTCCTGGTACTCTCTTTTAAGCTTTCTGTAACCGCTCTTCACTGTGTAGATTCCCCGCGGGTCTGCGTTCCACCATATTCCGTCCACTACCCTTCTTGTGTTCAGAGGAATGCTCACGATATTTTCCTTCTCTTCAACCGAGAACAAAGATGTGATTCTGTCTACATTCCACCCATCACCCCTCGCATTGAGCAACGCGGCCACGTTCATATCTGAGATTCCTGTTGGCGGTGCGGTGTGGATCCTCCCATCATTCGTTCCGGGTAGCCACCTTTCTTTCCAGACCGAGATCGATTGGCCATTTCCCACTTTCCGGCGCGCAAGCCTCCCTCCATCAAACCTTGAGTGTGAATAATGATACTCCAAATGAAGGAGGGGTTGCCCCCCGTTTTCGCCTGCAAGAAAGAATAGTTAGGATAATACTTTGCCTTATAGATCCGGCTGACTAAGGACTCAGGTTGTTTAAGTAGGCGCCATGCTTGTTTCCCCAACATTGCGATATTAAAATCCCTCAGCGAGCGAAAGCCGAGTCCTCCCTTCTGCTTAGGGTAGCACATGGCCTGCCAGGACTAGGGGTGTGCACTATCCGGTTTAAACCGGAAAACCGGACCGAACCGGACCGGAAAAACCGGAACCGGATCGAACCGGAATGATATCCAGTCCGGTTTTCGGTTAAAAAAATTTAGGAAACCGGTTTCCGGTCCGGTTCCGGTTTAAAACCGGATTATTCCGGTTTGAACCGGATTTAACCGGTTTTGCTATATTTTTAAAAATATACTTCCTCCGTTCTTAAATAAATGCAACAGTCAACATTTCACATTTGCCGAGGCACAACTTTGACCATTAATATATATAATTCCCGATTAGTAAAAAAACGTTTAAAAAATAGATTCTGAAAATTTATAATGAGAAAAATTTAACAATATTTTTTTCAAAAATATATATTATTACATTAATAAATAAAACGTAGTCAAAGTAGAACATGTGAATAGTGTAAAAAGTCCAACGTTGCATTTAAAAGAGAATGGAGGTAGTATTTACTAATACTAATATAATAATAGTTATAAAATAAAAAAATAATACTCCATACTAATAAAAATACTACGTATATAATAGCAATAAATTTCATAATGATTATAATATATATTATCCTAATATTATGTTCATCCATTCATTTTTATTCTCGTAATAATAAAACGAACTCATATATATTATTCTAGTCTCAAGTTACTTCAATATTTGCTCACTAAAATTAATTAAAATGAGTTTAGAAAACAATAATAATAAAAGTAATATTTTTAATAATAAGTACTCCATCTTTATCAAATGATTAGTAGCTTTTTTAGTAAAGAAAAAAATTATTTATCTAGGAACCAGTTTTTCCGGTCCGGTTCCGGTTTTGAACCGGATAAACCGGTTCGGTTCCGGATAAAAACCGGAATACATCCGGTCCGGTTTTCGGTTTCTATATCATGGCAAATCCGGTTCCGGTTCCGGTCCGGTTGGGTCCGGTCCGGTCCGGTTTTGAACCGGTGCACAGCCCTAGCCAGGACTTCCACCAGATGCCTCTCCAAGTTGTGTCGGAACCCTTCCACCAGTACCCATTCATAATAGTTGACCCAGATAGTTCTGAAGCCGTTGACGTAATATAGGCCATCCCGTAATCAATTTATCTCAAATTAGTACTACTCTCATCCCATATTGAATATTTTGGTTTAGTTTGACACAAATATTAATAAAGTGTTTTAAAACTTAAAATTTTGGTTGAAATTTGAGTAGGATAAAGTAAAATTAAATGACTCATATATTTCTTCTAAAAAAGAAAATACAACAGTTTGGGATAATCAAAAAGAGAAAGTAAGGCAACCAAAGCAAGGTAAGAAAACAAGACATTCACTTCACACACTAGCATTTCTTATAAAAAGGGAAAATGGAAACTAATAATCCAACCTTTTAGCGGTCTTCTTACAATAATCCCACATTTTCGTTATTCATGAATAATCCAACCTTTGCACCTCATCTTCATTCAATGGTCCCTTACCGGGTGATGACCTGCTATTCCAAGTTATTTTCTTATCTTTGCGAATCATTATACCATAAATCTCGCCTTTCGCAAAGATAATATTTTGCAAAGATAAGAAATAGTCATGGACTGAATCGGGCCCGGTTCCGGGTCGGGCCTAGGCCCGGTCGGCCCCAACAAAATTTCTGTGAGAACCGGGACCGGCCCGGTAGTTGACCAGTGCCGGTCCGAGCCCGGGTCGGGTCCGGTTCTATTTTTTTTGTTTTCTTGATTATTTTATCCCCTACCCCTCCCCCATCCCCTCATCCGACAAATCCATCTGAAACACCCATTGCAGCTCATTTAAACCCAGCCCAAAATCCTCAAACAAAAAAACAATAAAAATTTGAAAAGACCCGAACCGGGCCCGGAACCGGCTGGGCCGGTTCTCAATTCCCTAAGCCCGTACCCGCCCCCGGTTTCCCCTTCAAACCGGGCCTAGACCCGGTACTAGTACCCGGTTCCCAGGCCGAACCGGGCCCAAACAATGTCGGGCGGGGCCGGTTTCTGGGCCGGTTCCCGAACCGGGTCCAAGCCAAATAAGAAAATAACTTGGAACAGCATGTCATTAACCGGTCAGGGACCAGCGAATGAAGATGAGGTGCAAATGTTGGATTATTCTTGAATAACGAAAAAGTGAGACTATTGTAAGAAGAGTGCTAAAAAGTTGAATTATTAGTTTGCATTTTCCCTATAAAAAATGGTAACAAAGCATTTATTTAAACTTATTTCGTATGGTCGTCGGTTTTCAATTTTAGTTTTTAAATCAAAACTGTGTTAATACTCCCTGCTAATCAAGTAATCATGATCATTCTGAAAATCCAACAAAAACGTGAAAATGGCTAATTCTGGAAAAATTGAAAATAATAATCCCAATTATTGCTTGTTCGCTAATAATAATCCCAACTATTGATTATTTTTGTATAATCCCAACTATATGTACTTTCCGCCAATTATGGTCCATGACCAGATATTACTTGTTATAACATGTGAATTTTAAATAGAAATTAAGAGTAAAAATTAAAAGTTGAGATTATTTAATATGTTATATTTTTTCTCATCCACTTTAGAAACTATAGAATTTTATTTACAACCGGTCACGTCGGACCATTATTGGCGGAAGGTCCCTAAAGTTGGGATTATTCTGAAATAATCGATAGTTGAGATTATTATGATGAACGGACCGCCAATAATAGAGATTATTACTATCAATTTTTCCAATTTTAGTACGAGTATAGGTTACTATTTTGTTTATACTAACGTGTTCCTGTGTACAATCTTTTTCAAAAAAAAAATCGTTCTTGTGTACAAAACTTTGCTTCTCGGATATGACTCTGTACGTAGCTGTAAAAGAAGAATCGAACATATATGGCTTCATGAATTGAAAAGCATGTGGGTACTGTTGAGGTTTATTCCTTCAACCCCCGGGTCCAACACGTAAGCCCAAGGATTTCGAATGGAGTATGTGATTAAACTAGCCCAACAAGCAGATGATATGGATTAGGAAAGCAGTAAGGTAGCGAGTAAATGATCAGGTATTATTATCTCTTAATAACTTCCTAATACAATACTTTTCGCTAAGGCTCCGTCGGCCGTTCGTCTCACAAGGCAGTAGAAGTACTGCGAGTAAGAATGCTATAGCTAGAGTGCTAATAATAGAAAGTTGCCAACCCTTTACAATGAAATAAATGCTTCTATTTATACCCGCCAATGGGCAGGTGGCTATGCTGACGTGGAGGCCTGCGGACCGCTTGTGTCCCAACCACCAAATCTTCTGCATTAAATGCACTTCCCGCCAGAATCTAGGCTTCCCGCCTAAATAATGGGGACGTTCGCCCGCCAGGGGGTGAACTGGGTCACTCCAAGTAACCCTCAAGAGACTTCGGCTGGTCGTCCCCCGACCTTAGTGGATTCTCTCCATGTGGACTGGATCTCCTCCGACGATCATGGGCCTGCCCAGTAGACGTTCGTCGTTATCCCTGATGGCCAGTGGTCCTGCCCCTTACCTCTGCTCATACGTTCGTCGCGATGGGCCGTTTGAAACCTGGACCCCCCCCAATTCCAGACGTTCGTCTCTTCCCAAGGGTCATGGGCCTGCGCCCAGCCTGGTCCTAGCATGACGTGCGTCCGATAGAAAAAGGGGTTAATGGGCCGGGCCTCGGCCTGGGCCATTATCCCAACACAAGTCCCCCACTTCTGATGTTCTGGGCATGCGCAGGACATAAGGAAGTACAGATGCCCCGAAATGGACGTTCGTGTCTTGATACTTGTGTCTTATTGCATCTGGCGGAAGCGTACGCTCGTGGTCATGGTGCTTAACAGCTGTCGACGGTTCAGGAAACGAGGTGACGGCTGCTGTAGCGGCGGTGCACTTTCCGAGGACATGCCATCATTACGCTTTCGTCCCACGCACAGCGCGTGAGACGGAATACGCTCCTTGCCACGTGTCCGTCCCTCGTTGGTCCCCCCATCGGTGTCTCTCCTATAAATGCCGGGTTTTCCCTCTAGGTTAGGGTTCCCGATTTCTGCTCTCTTGTCTTCGAATTTCCGCAGCTCTTCAAGTCTTCTTCCGCTTCCAAGTTCGGCTAATCCCTCTAAGGTAACTTCCATCTTCTGCTTCTTTTTCTTGTCTTGAATTCTTGCCGCGATGGTTTCGATGG